TGGGACTCCTTGACTCATTCCTTTGCTCCGTTGGACTCCTTGACTTGTTCCTTTGCCCTGCTGGACTTCTTGCCTTGAAGCCGTTGTGCTAAAAGCATTTTGCTGGACTACTTGCAGTCAGAGGCTGCTGGAGATGTGAGCACTTTGTTCTGGGACTTGCCGTAAACGTGGAAGCGTTTGGGGGAAAAGTTGGAGCAATAAAGGGGAGTCGAACTATCAGCTGGCTGTGTTGCCTCCGTGCTTTGCCCCAGGTCATCACACAGGCAGTCCTCAACTTACAACCACAACCGAGCCCAAATTTTCTGTTGCTAAGCAAGACAGTTATAAAGGGATTTTTGCCCCATGTTACAAGCTTTCTTGTCATCGTTGTTAAGTGAATCACGGCAATTGCTAAGTTACTAACACAGCTGTTAAGTGAATCTGGCGTCCCTTCGCTTGTCCGAAGGTCGTAAAAGGGGAGTACCTGACCCTTGGATATTACAACAGCCATAAATCCATGCCAGTTGCCAAGCATCTGAAGTTTGATCATGTGACCATGAAAACGCTGCAATGGTCGTAAGATTGAAAAACGGTCATAAGTCGTTTTTTTTTTCAGTGTTGTTGTAACAGTCACTAAGCAAAAGGCTGTAAGTAGAGGACACCTGTACTGGCTTATACAAATCAGTGATATTGCATTGTGAGTGTGGATCAGGGGTGAAATGCTCCCGGTTCGGACCGGATCGCCCGATCCGGTAGCAATGGAGGCGGGTGGTTTTTTGGCCGAAAAAATGCTTTTAAAAGTTAAAAAAAAAAGCCTCTGATGATCCTGCGGCTCAGCTGGGATCGTCAGAGCCTTTTGAAAGCATTTTTTTACAACCTCTTCACCGAAGAGGTTGTAGAAAAAATGATTTTAAAAGTAAAAAAAAAAAATTGGCCACGCCCACCCAGTCACATTACCCCTCCCACCAAGCCACACCCACAGAACCGGTAGTAACAAATTTTAGATTTCACCACTGGTGTGGATGTTGTCATCTGAGTGCCATTGATTTTCAGCTATTTCCATCCTTTTTAGAGTCAATAACTATTCTGAAAGATTTTAGTCAAACTTTTATCCTATAATATTTTTAGGGAGGTAGGTGTGGGGAGAGGCTTGCTCGCATGATTTCTATTTCAAGAACAATAGCTTGGCAATTTCTATCAATCTTCCCATCTTAGTCATACCTTGATAACAGGCTAATCTCAGCTCCTTTACATCCTTTTCTTGTTCATCCTGAATAGTACTTTCAATAAAAGATTACACAAGCATAGAAAATGATTAAATGCCATCGGAACAATCTGTTCAGACAAAGTTGGGTATAAGTGCAGAGCTCATTTAGTCAAAATCGTTCAAGATAGCATCGCCCCTGAATTTTTTAAGGCTTGTTCATCCTATGTTCCCATACCTATACAGTTTATAACCCTTTGCTGCTATTTTATTTCATTTTATTTTACACTGATCTTCCTTCTAAAAGGAAGGAGCCTATGGGAATACACACCCCCTTTTAAAAAAGAGAGAGAGAGAGAGAGCACAAAACAATTAAATAAAAGCTGTTAAGAGCAGAATAAATTCCCATAAAACAAGACAATTAAACAATGGGAATAAAATAATTTAAGAGGCTGTCTGGCCCGGGGTTGGGTGGATGGGTGTTGCAAAAGCAGTAACTGATTGTTAAAGCAAGACAGGGTGCGATCTATTGTAATCCCCTTTTGGGAGGGAGTTCTATTGGTGGCTACTGCCCTGTGAAGTGGATCCCAAGGTAAGAGAATCGGTGGAGCTTTCTGTGTTAATCATAGCACATCGGTTGGGTGACACTGGAAGAGCCTGGAGCCCTGGTGGTGTAGTGAATAAACTATAGTGTTGTGGGCAAACTCTGTCCACAGCCTGGAGTTCAATCCTGATGGGGCTCAAGGTTGACTCAGCCTTTCATCCATCTAAAGGTTGGTAAAATGAGGACCCAGATTGTTGGGCACAACTTGCAAATAATGCTTACACTGTAAACCACCAAGAGAGTGCTTGGTGGTTTACAGCCCTAGCAGTAGAGTAGAGTAGAGTAGAGTAGAGTAGAGTAGAGTAGAGTAGAGTAGAGTAGAATAGAATAGAATAGAATAGAATAGAATAGAATAGAATAGAATAGAATTCTTTATGGGCCAAGTGTGATTGGACACACAAGGAATTTGTCTTTGGTGCATATGCTCCCAGTATACATAAAAAGAAAAGATACATTCGCCAAGAATCATAAGGTACAACACTTAATGACAGTCATAGGGTACAAATAAGCAATCAAATCAGGAAACAATCAATATCAATATAAATCGTAAGGATACATGCAACAAAGTTATAGTCATGCAGTCATAAGTGGGAGGAGATGGGTGGTGGGAACGATGAGAAGATTAATAGTAATCCAGACTTAGTGAATAGTTTGACAGTGTTGAGGGAATTATTTGTTTAGCAGGGTGATGGCGTTTGGGAAAAAACTGTCCTTGTGTCTAGTTGTTCTGGTGTGCAGTGCTCTATAGCATCGTTTTGAGGGTAGGAGTTGAAATAGTTTATGCCCAGGATGCGAGGGGTCTGTAAATATTTTCACAGCCCTCTTTTTGACTCGTGCAGTATACAGGTCCTCCATGGAAGACAGGTTAGTAGTAATTGTTTTTTCTGCAGTTCTAATTATCCTCTGAAGTCTGTGTCTTCATAGCACTTAGCACTTAGATTATATAATGCTTCACAGTGCTTTTACAGCCCTGTCTAAGCATTTTACAGAGTCAGCATATTGCCACCAACAATCTGGGTCCTCATTTTACCCACCTTGGAAGGACGGAAGGCTGAGTCAACCTTGAGCCAAATTGCAGTCAGCCGGCAGTAGCCTGCAGTACTGCACTCTAACACTGCACCACCCCAACTCTATGGAGATTCTCAGTCATCCAGGTCATAGATCTGGTATATATAAATTGTCCGCTATTAGGCTACCAAACTGGAAATCAAGAGAGTAGGAATAAGAGCGATAATCCTTCAATTGGCTCCTCAAATCTCAGGCTGTAAGTCATTCCACGTAGATCAATATTGAAGAACAACAATAGAGCATTTTTCTTTCAGCACTAATAACAGACTTTCAACCGATCACTTTCAACCGATCAGCAACCGATCTTGTTTCAAATTAAGAGTGGAAATTGTGCTAAATCTATGTCTTGTGCTGAAACTGAGCACACAAAAGACAAGCTATTCGTCTCCTTCTTGTTCTCTTTCTTAGTTCTCAGCAAGGCATCCATACGATTTGGGCACGATTTGAACGAACAAAGGATGACCCATCTTTGACAATGTCAATGCACAAACACCACAACTAGTATACTTGTGTCAGACAACAGGAGGCAAACCCGTTAATGGCAGCATTTTGAGGAATGATGTCCATACAGTGTGCTGTGAGCAGACTTGAGGAGCTGGCCAATATGATCTGGGGTTTTGAAACTAACTTGGATGAGATCATGGCTAGCCTAGTGAAGAGAAGGACCAGGGGAGACATGATAGCAGTATTCCAATATTTGAGGGGCTGACCCAGAGATGAAGGGGTCAAGCTATTTTCCAAGGCACCTGAAGACCAGACAAGGAATAATGGATGGAAACTGAACAAGGAGAGATTCAACCTGGAAATAAGGAGAATTTTTCTGACAGTGAGAACAGAGAGAGCCTTGGTAGTACAGTGGTCTAAAGCACCCTGTTATTAAGACCAGCTACCTGCAATTACTGCAGGTTCGAATCTTGCCAGGCTCAAGGTTGACTCAGCCTTCCATCCTTTCTAAGGTAGATAAATTGAGGACCCAGTTGTGGGGGCAATAAGATGACTTTTTATAAATATACAAAAGGATGAAGGCTATTGCTTAACGCATTGTAAGCCACCCTGAGTCTCTGGAGAAGGGCGGCATATAAATCAAATAAAAAAAAAAATCAACCAGTGGAACAGAAGTTGCCTTTGGAAGTTGTGGGAGCTTCATCAATGGAAACTTTCAAGAAGAGACTGGACTCCCATTGTCAGAAATGGTGTAGGGTCTCCTGCTTGGGCGGGGGGTTGGACTAGATGACCTACAAGGTCCCTTCCAACTCTATTAATCTGTAAAGTTAAAATATGGATGTTTTTTTTTTTAATTTGATTTATATGCCGCCCTTCTCCGGAGACTCAGGGTGGCTTACAATGCATTAAGCGAAAGCCTTCATACTTTTGTATATTTATACAAAGTCAGCTTATTGCCCCCACAATCCGGGTCCTCAATTTACCTACCTTAGAAAGGATGGAAGGCTGAGTCAACCTTGAGCCTGGGGAGATTCGAACTAGCAGTAATTGCAGGCAGCTAGATGATAATAACAGGCTATTAGTCTGCTGCGCCACCAGGCTCTTACCACTATAGTTGACCACTATCTGATAGAAAACAAAAAAAAGTAGAGGCAACAACACACCACTCCCAAGAAAACTCTGCAGATGTATTCATGAATTCTCCAAAAGTAGAGCTGAACTTAAAAGTGACTACTTAACTTAGAGGCCACATCCAAAATAGCAATTACTTTTGTAGTGTATTTTTAAATAATGGCTTTTATGCAGAGAACGACACAGTGAATCACAGTTGATATAATTGTATTCCTCCCACTGCTGTGAATTGTTTAAAGCCCAGAAACTATACATCCAGAAAAAGTGAAAAGGCAAACAGGCAATTCCTGATTCTTTTCATCACTTTTAATTGGTTGCCATAAACTGGAAATGCTACAGGCGCAAGAGAGGGGAGAGGGAATTAATAAAGGCAGCCAGCTTTGACAGTTTACAGGCTTCCTTCTTAACGAAAGCAAGAAAGTGCTAAATAATCATCTTACAGGTTGTTACATGTTACTGCTTTTTCTTGACTATCCAGTTTGAACTGTGTAGTGGGAAGGGAATAACCCGAGAAATATCCTTTAATTTCCCTTTCCTTTTTTTAAACTGAGCTTCGTGGACTGGGAGGCAATGAAATCTTATGCTGTCCTTCTCAAATATCATCTTCAACCTAGCATATTATGAATTTTTCAGGACATGGATGGGGGCGAAAGGAGCAATAAACAGCACCGCAAATGAGGACCCACATTATAGGGGTATATTTAGATCAACAGGTATATATTTATAAATGATCAATGTCTTTACCGTGTGTTCAGAGCAGCTTACAGTTAGGAATGGGAAAAGATTGCCAACGACAAATTAAAGCAGCATCTATGGAAACAGGGTGTGTGCAAGACTCTCCGTTCCAATAGTAGTTTGCTATTTTCCCTTTTGAAGTAAGGTGTAGAATTCTGGTGCCAGAAGAAATCTAACTTTAGGAATCCCAACTTATCTACTCCCTGACAGATTCTGGGACCGATGATTTCTAAAGCCAGTAAAGAATGTTTCCTGAAATTTTAGGGAGTGGGAATGGTGGCACGGTGGTTAGAGTGTGGTACTGCAGGCTACTTCTGCTGACTGCCGGATGCCTGCAATTTGGCAGTTCGAACCTCACCAGGCTCAAGGTTGACTCAGCTTTCCATCCTTCCGAGGTCAGTAAAATGAGGACCCAGATTGTTGGGGGCAAGAGTAAACTGTTGACTCTGTAAACTGCTTAGAGAGGGCTGTAAAGCACTGTGAAGTGGTGTATAAGTCTAAGTGCTATTGCTATTTATTTTCCTTCCTTCCTCCCTCCCTCCCTTCCTATTAGTGTAGGCTAATTCTGCTGACTGCCAGCAGTTCAATCCTGACTGGCTCATGGTTGACTCAGCCTTGCATCCTTCCAAGGTTGGTAAAATGAGTGGGTCCTCATTTTGGGGGCAATAGGCTGACTCTGTAAACTGCTTAGAGAGGGATGTAAAGCAATGTGAAGCGGTATATAAGTCTAAGTGTTCTTGCTATCAAGGTTGAGATACTCTGAAAGTTTGAAGCCCCTCCCACCATTCCTTTCCATGTTTAGAAGGCATTAATCAGTCATTTGCTCAGTTTCAAAGGTTTTTCTCCAGTTGCTTCCAATGTAAGGAAACATGACCAATAAACAATCCAGGACATAGTTAATAATATTAATTATGGGAAGAATGGAGAATTGCAGGTCTTTTCCTCTGCATCATGCCACATGGCGGAAAGGAAGATAATTTTTTTTAAAAAAAATCAATAACGCTAGAAAGGAGGATTTAAAAGATCGGGTGGCATAATACAAGTGGCTCTTCTATCATCCACTTCGTTTCCAAAGATGGAAGCCCTAAGGAAGAGACATAACACGGTACGTAAAGCAACAGCCATCTCTGCAACAGGGGCATCTTCAAGGAGAATGTCAAAAAAAGTCAAGATGATTCCATGGTGGTGGCCTCCATTTCATTCTGTTGCCTTCCTCTTTGGATGTTCTGCCATCCTATGAAATTCTGTTTTCTCTTCAATAGAAAAGCCATCATCATTTTCTAACTGTTGGAAGAAATGTCCATCTGGGTTCAATTCCAAGTGGGGAGAAAGACACTGGAAACATGGAGACTGCTTGAAAAGATGGTTTAATGGTGGACAGGACCACGTGGTTTTGAGGTCCTGGGCAAAAAGGCACATGGGGGAGAGAGAGAGAGAGAGATTTATACCCTCTGTTGGGCTTTGAATTTGAGCTCGTATTCTGATTGGTTGTCAGACTCCCATGGGGCCATGCAGGAGTAACTTTGTAGGTTGTCTTTTGAGTCCCAGGCTTGGTTGAGCCTTGTTGGGTGATGCAATCTCCCCAGGTGCCATGTGGTGAGTTCTATTGTTAGATGGGTAGAGGGCTAATCCTACCTTTGTTGGATCTTGGGTGTGGGTTTTTGCTTATGAATAGACTTAGCTATCTCTTTATCTCTTAAGTGCTGACATCTGCTGTGGATTATTGAGAGTGTGGGAGCTATTGAGTCTGCTTCCTGCCTAAAAAACATGTTTCTCCATTTCTCATCCAGGGAGGTGTAATATTCTGCCTTTTTAATATTTCCTAGAATATGTCATTCTTCTAGGAGAGGGGTGGGTTCTAACTTCCTACGTAACCAAACTTGGTCTAGACGTCTGAATCAAGAGGCAAATTAGCAAAGAACGGTCTTTGCTCATGAAATGAGGAAAGGTGGTTACGGGAAAAACAGTCAGTCTTGAGCTCAAAAATTGGTTAGTCTGGCTTCACACAAAAATGGACTCCTAGACTGAAGAACACTGTAGTTTTATTTTTCCAGATGAATCGCGAGAGAAGGACTTTCTGTTTTTTGCCAATGCTTTAAGCTAAAATTATCGCTTTAAAGAAGTACTTCTCAGTGCTTCGTTTAAATAAATTTCACCGGGTGCCTTGAAGGTTTAGCATTCGAAGAAACACCTCACCTCCTTTGTCTATTCATTTTCTTTAAATATTTTATGATTGATGAACATCTGTACACGTCACAATTTGATCTCCCTTCTCCTCCCCCCCCCTTCAAGTTAAAGGCTTCTGTTTTCTAATCCTTTCTTTGTTAAGCCCTGGATTGTTATGAGTGTCCTATACGGAGCAAGAACAAATAATGTAAAACGGCACACGGAGGACAGAAAAACAGGCTGTGTTCCTAGCCAGGCCTGCACAGAAGAGATAATCGAGATCTAGTCATAATGGGCCAGCCAGCTTCAGTGCAGAAAGGAGATTAAAAAAAATTGAGCAGATTGGGACCAGCCTGAGATAGCTGCCTCCAGTCACCTGTTTTTCTTTGAAAGCTTAGTGTTAAAAGAGAGCATTAACATCGCTGCTCATAATAATGTTCTTTTGAATGACAGTTTGCTGATTTACATGGGGGGTGGGTGGGTGGGTAGACAATTGTGTCCCATTTTTTATGGCCTTCCTTCTTGGGAAGTCTGTATCAATGGAGCTCTAAATCTTAGAGGTAAATCCAATATAGGCTCCCCTATTCTTCAGTTATAAAACAATGGGAAGGGATGGGAAGGGAGGGGAGGGGAGAGGAGAGGAGAGAGAGGGGAGGGGAAGGGAAAGGAAGGGGGAGGAGAGGCAAAGGGAAAGGAAGGGAGAGGAGATGAGATGAGAAGAGAGGAGAGGAGAGGTGAAGGGAAGGGAAGGGAGAGGAGAGGAGAGAGAGGGGAGGTGAAGGGAAAGGAGAGGGCAGGAGAGGAGAGGATAGAAAGAGGAGAGGTGAAGGGAAGGGAAGGGAGAGGAGAGAGAGGAGGGGAAGGGAAAGGAGAGGAGAGGAGAGGAGAGAGAGGGGAGGGGAAGGGAAAGGAGAGGGCAGGAGAGGAGAGAGAGGGGAGGTGAAGGGAAAGGAAGGGGGAGGAGAGGCAAAGGGAAAGGAAGGGAGAGGAGATGAGATGAGAAGAGAGGAGAGGAGAGGTGAAGGGAAGGGAAGGGAGAGGAGAGGAGAGAGAGGGGAGGTGAAGGGAAAGGAGAGGGCAGGAGAGGAGAGGAGAGAAAGAGGAGAGGTGAAGGGAAGGGAAGGGAGAGGAGAGAGAGGGGAGGGGAAGGGAAGGGAAAGGAAGGGAGAAGAGAGGTAAAGGAGAGGAGAGGAGAGGAAGAGAGGATAGGTGAAGGGAAGGGAGAGGGCAGGAGAGGAGAGAAGAGGAAAAGAGGAGAGGAGAAAGAGGGGAGCTGAAAGGAAGGGAGAGGAGAGGAAAGAGAAGAAGCTTGGATGGGCTGTGGACAAACCCAATGAAATATGAAACTAAGGTCACAACTGGAACCTACAGATTTGGGCTCGGTTTATACTGCACGTTTAACCATTTGACACACTCTGCAGATTGGATTCCGCACAAGATGGGATGAATATGTTGAATGGCTGTTCATTGGTGGATGACTGCATAGAGTGCAGTGGCAAGACCACGTTTGTTGGCAAACCAGAAAGCAAGGGGATAAAAAGGGGCTCCCTTTCCAAAATGGATCCAACCCAACCCATTTAATGTTCAAATCTGGGCTAATTTTGTGGCACTCCAGAACTATTCAGAGGTCCTGTTATGGTAATGCCCTGTTGTCAGCCTTTGTTTAAGCTGTGAGTCAGATTTAAAAGCTCCTTGCCAAAAAAAACCCCTACAACCGCTTCATGGCATTATGTGTCATGCACAGGAAACTGCGAAGCATGTAGGTGTTGTGGACTGCCAGCTGCCAGTGGAGCTGGCGGCAGACTCAGACGATGAGGAGGTTGGGAAGGAACCTAGGCCAGTTCTGGAGCCTGGGGAAGGCTCTGACGCAGAGATAGAGCCAGGGACGTCTGTTTTGGCCCGAAAGCGGCCTGCACGGATCGTGGCTGATCCCGACAGCGAGGCGCTGGTGTGGGGTCGCGCCAGCAGCCTGCGCAGCCGGGGCTCGCATCGGACAGTGAGGAGGCCGAAGAGGATGTGATGCCAGAGGCAGAGACTCAGCCAGGGTCTTCAGAACCTCCAGAGGCTCCTTCCAGTGGAGAGAGCGAAGTGGAGGAGCCTCTCCTCAATGCTTGAGCACGCAGGGCTGCCAAAAGGCAGGAGTGGCTACTCAGGAGGAGGAGGACTCCTCAAGAGTAAGGTTTGAGGATAATTGGCCACTCCCTTAGCCTATTTAAGTTGCACGCAGTTAGTAATTTCTTGCTGGAAACAATGTGTAATTATTACAGAGCATTTTGGAGAGTGAGTGTCTTATCGTATCTTGTCTTCTGGGCTGGTTGCCAACTTTTGCCGGATTTTGTTTATTCTTGGTACGTTATAACTTTGATAAGGATCGTTGGTGTGTGTCACAATCCTTGGGAATCCGGAGCTGGGGCAGAACAATGTCCAACATTTCCCAACCACTGGAGAGGCAGCTGCCTTCAGAAGCTGAAATAAGTGAGGAGGAAGAACAGCTGGGGCCTGTTCCAGATGCACGTATGCGCACATGTGTTAGGAGAGGAGAATAACGGAGGACAAGGAGTTGACTCAGGAAGCAAAGCACAGGTGGACGCTGAATGGCCGCTTCCTGGCTGGGGAATAAATAGAAGGAAAGGGGAGTGGGTGTTGTAGAAGACAACCGTTCGGATCTCAGAAGATTTGGCTCATCATGCTTCGTGCCTCAGAGACTGCTTGCTAGGACTTAATTTACAGTTTTGCGGCTGGAAGCTCCCGGCCTGGCAATTATCTCAAGGAACTGATAAGGTCTGTTACTGCAGTCAACTCTTTGAAGGAT